GTAGGAAATTGAATTCTCTATAAAATAGGTTTTTTATTTATATATGTATATGTATAAAATATATATGTATCAAAATTACAAATTAATAAATATCTAAAATATATAATATTGTATGCAATTAAAAATTTGTTGAAAAATGAATACTTACTTTTCTTTATCTGAGGGAAACCTGTGAAACACCAAGTCAGGTCGTGATTTTTTCGTATTATTACATCCAGAATAATAACACTTATTATATGACGGCATGTTACTTAATAAAAAATTTTTATCAAAAACRAAAAACAAATGATTTTGATGTTACTTTTTTACAAATTATTAAATAATCGGATTTTACTTTAAAATGATATTTCTGTGACAAATGATTGAGAACAAATAAACTATTGATATCATATAAGAACATAATTACGAGAGCACAGAAAAACAGAAYAACGATGATTGTTTTGAAAACCAATGAGAGAGACCTAACATAAAATTACATTTGGACAACCCAGTTAATGTCAAGTTCAAAAACTAAAGTCATGCTTCTAAGAAGAATTACACCTGTATGCATTTTGTTGTTTTATAACCTTTACTTGGGTCAATGAAAGTACTCTTTCCTATATTGATGACACATCAAAGTGCAGGTATCAGTTCAAGTAAATAAATACATTTTCTTTAGAATATGAAACAATTTTATAACTAAAATATCTGGATTATTTTATAAGTAAAATAAAAAAAAGTTTTTAAGCACGGAGGATAAAAAAACTTCTAAACTTCACTGTAAAATAAAGTTCTTAAAGAACAGCAACTACATGGTATTTAAACGTTATCGCGTTAAGTTCCTACTCTCGCCCACTGGTGGCCAGAGTACTAACTAAGATAATTGTGCGCTCCCGAAAAGTGAACTTGTGAGTTTCTATATATTTCTGTATTATTTGATCATACATTTAAACTAGATTCTATTTATTTTTTTGTATTGTCAAAAATTTAATTTTTATTTATATATTCTATATATATATATAATATAAATTATTTATATTTTGTAAACTATAAAAAAATTCATCATAGCAGTTATATTCGCTATAAAGAGTTTAGTTAGTGTGGTAACACTGTTATACATTTCTTTTCATTTCTCCACGGAGCTAGTGTTTCTTTTCTCTTTCATTTCTACGAAGACTTCTCGAACGTGGTCTCTTCGGGACGGCTATTTATTTGTAAAAGTAATAAAAAATGGTAAGTGGAAATAATCATTAATATTAGTAAAATCAAAAATTACAGTTTCTTAGTTTGTAAATAAATTATTTTTGAAATAAAAACTCAAAGGATGCTTTTTATAATGATTGATTATATGATTATCGAATAGGGTTAGTTTTACTGGCCATAAGAAACGTGTTAGATTTATATTCATATTGTTTTAAACATATGGAAATATTTTACTTATAATTGTTAAACAAAATATTATTTGAAAATATYAATCTCTATAYGCAACATTTTATTTTGTRGATTAAAATTTTTAAATTTTAAATTGTATTTAATAAAACTTTATTGGGGTTATTAATTTACCTTACATAAACTTAACCATACTTGTTTATCGTTTAACACATGTGTGTTTCTGAAAAATTAATTTAATAATTACAATTTTTTTATAGGGTTTTGTAAAAATAGTCAAAAACAAACAATACTTTAAGCGTTATCAAGTAAAATTCAAGAGGCGTCGTGAAGGCAAAACAGATTATTATGCGCGTAAGCGATTGACAATTCAAGATAAAAATAAATACAATACTCCAAAATACAGATTAATTGTTCGTTTATCGAATAAGGATATCACATGCCAAGTAAGCTTAATAAAATATAGTATATTTGGACAATGTTTAAAATTTACATGTAGTATTAACATAAAACTGCATCTCTTATAGATTGCATATTCAAGAATTGAAGGAGATAAGATTGTATGTGCTGCATACAGTCATGAACTTCCAAGATATGGAATTAAAGTTGGACTCACCAACTACGCATCAGCCTACTGCACAGGGCTATTAGTAGCAAGAAGGGTAAATAAATATTATTACTCAAATTCTTTTTTGTATATATTATACAAATTCATATGATGAACCACTCAGCTCGCTTTGATATAAAAATGAAGAAACATTTTGTTCCCTATTTATATTCTGATACATAAATTGATTATTTTATTGTGTAATACAATTCAATATGTTGTCTTGTTGATTAAATATATTTATTTTCTTTATATACAGCTCCTTAAAAAGTTAGGCCTGGATGAATTATATACAGGCACTACAGAGGTAACAGGAGATGAATACAATGTCGAAGAATTAGATAAGGGACCTGGGGCATTTAGATGTTACCTAGATACAGGTTTGATGCGTAC